GGTCTTGGAAGTGTTTGAAGATGGTCTGTTTATCTAAAATATATCTCTGTTTGACCTTGAAAACATATCTGATATGACAAGTTCAATTTTAATAGGTAACTAATTACTAACCTGCATTCCCTTATTATTCTAAATAGTTGGTAATAATAATTTTCAAGGGCTAGAAATTTGCATTACATTGTTAAATGAGCTGTATAGGTACAATACATTAAATAAGATTAAAAACGTATGTACAGTATGTTCTAACACAAATAATTTCAACTTTATATCAATATATAAAATTTGTATACAATATACAAAAATCCAAATCAATATAAAATATTTAAAACTAGTAGTTGCTTTTTAAAAGTAGATTTAATAATCTACCTTTTTATCTTATCATAGCTATATCCTCTATATCCTCTCTTTTTCTTTTCAGAGTAGATTCAATAATCTACCATTTATCTTATCATTTCTATATCTTTTTATTCCAGAGTAGATTCAATAATCTACCCTTTTATCCTATCATATCTGAATCCTCCTTTTTTCTTTCTTTCTTTTTTTTTTCAAACAAGAACTCTGAATCTAATCTCCTTTGTTCAGGTTTTTCCCTGATCATTACCAATATAACTTGTAACCAACCACCCCAAACAATGAAAAATATCCATAACCCATTGAACAACTGAAAACCACTCACCCCACCTCTTGGGACTGTGGGTGTTGTGTTCCTAAATTTACTTCCTACTGTCTGGGGGCAAAGGCATCTTTAGGGGATCTTGAAAAGAAAAATTTTGGTTAATTGTGAAGTCCTGGGAGAGGTAGCAGCATTATTTGTTGTTCAGTCTCTGTGTAATGGGAAAGTATAGGGCTTGTCTCAAGTCCTGGCTAGAGTAGTCTGTGAGGCTGGATCATCTCAGCTAGCCACCTCGAAACTGTCCTGAGCAGTTTGTAGTCCAAAGCCATTCTTTGTGTGGTAGTTGTCAGCTTACTGGAGTTATCATAGTCCATGTGGAATCCTCCTTGTGGGGCCCCATCATCCTTTTGGAGACTTCAAAGGCAGGTGTTAGGCATTGTCATGGTTCATTGCAGAAAACTTAAACATTTTAAATGTCATATGCAGCTTAGAAGGAAATCATCCTCATAATAATCCACAGGTTAAAATGCCCAATAGAAAGAGATATTTCCATGAGATCATCACATTACATTAAGGTCAGTGGGGATCTCCCCATGCCCATTCACGCTATTCCAGATATCAGAGGAAAATGGCAGCAGCAAACATATAAAGGAACAGCAGTAGCAAGAGACCTTCTGGGGCTGGAAGTCCTCGGGGGGCCTTGCCTTGTTTATCCAAAATTCACCCATCAAAGCTTTGCTTCCTGGTGGGCCAATCCCCTGAAGTCAATTGCCACCTGCTGCTCCTCTTACATGGGCACCAGCATACACTGAACCTGATAGAAGAGAAAGTGGGGAATAGCCTTGAACTAATCAGCACAAGAGACAACTTCCTGAACAGAACACCAATAGTGCAGGCACTAAGTTCAATGATTAATAAATGAGACTTCATGAAACTGAAAAGCTTCTATAAGGCAAACAACATCATCAATAGGACAAAATGGCAGCCTACAGAATGGAAAAAGATTTTCACCAACTCGACATCTGACAAAGGGTTAATATCCAAAACATATGAGGAACTCAAGAAACTAGATATAAAAAAAAACAAATAATCCAATTGAAGAATGGGATACAGATCTAAACGGAGAATTCTTAACAGATGAATCTCAAATGGTTGAGAAATACTTAAAGAAATGTTCAACATCCTTAGTCATCAGGGAAATGTAAACCAAAATGATTTTGAGATTCCATCTAATACCTCTCAGAATGGCCAAGACAAATACAAGTGACAGCTCATGCTGATGAGGATGTGGGGCACGGGGGACACTCATCCATTGCTGGTGGGAGTGCAAACTTGTACAGACACTATGGAAATCAATATGGTGATTCCTCAGAAAATTGGGAATTGCTCTACCTCAAGACCCATCTACATCACTCTTGGGCATATACCCAAAGGATGCTCAATATACCACAAGGACACTTGCACAACTGTATTCATAGCAGCTTTATTCATGACAGCCAGAAACTGGAAACAACCTACATGTTCTTCAACTGAAGAGTAGATAAAGAAAATGTGGTATATTTACACAACGGGGTATTACTCAGCTGTTAAAAAAAATGACATCATCAAATTTGAAGACAAATGGATAAAGCTATGAAAAAAATCATCCTGAGTGAGGTAATCCAGACCCAGAAAGACAAATATGGTATGTACTAACTTATAAGTGGATATTAGCTGTTAAGTAAAAGATAATCATGCTACAAATCACAGACCCAGAGAGGCTAAGAGGGGAGTGATGCATGGACCTCCCCAGGAAGGGGAAATATCATAGAATTTGTGGGTGGACTGGTAGTGGGTAGGGATGGGATCAGGTGAGGGGGGATGTAGAGGCAGAGAGCTAGAGGGAGAGATGACTGGAATTGGGGGGACATTTGGAGGATGATGGGGGAAGCCTAGTGCAGTGGAAGCTCCCTGGAATCAATAGGGTGACCCTAGTGAAGACTCATAGTAATCGAGGATATGGAGCCTGAACTGGCCATCTTCTGTAATCAGACAAGTATTCTAGTGGTGGGACTGGGATACCAACCAAGCCATAAAACCTTCAACATACAATCTGTCCTGTCTGCAAGATGTGTTCGGGCAATGGTGGCACAGAACTTGTGGGAGTAGCCAACCAATGTTTGGTCCAGCTTAAGTCATGGTGTGGATATCCCAGAGACCTAGGATAGAACCAAACACTACTGGCAAAAAAAGTCAATGAAATGATTCTTAAAGATATTCTGCTATAGTTGTAGATCAGTGCCTAGCCTGACAGTCATCAGAGAAGCTTCATCCGGCAACAGTTGGGAGCACATACAGAGACTCACAGTCAAACATTAGGCAGAGCTCAGGGAACCCCTCAGAAGGAGGGGCTTGTAGGACCCAGAGGGGTCTAGGAGACCAGGAGAACATGGCACACAGAATCAATTAAGCAAGGCTCATAAGGGCTCACAGGGACTGAAGGGTGAATCACAGAGCCCTCATGGGATTGCACTAATTCCTCTGCATGTATGTTATAGGTTATATAGCTTGGTGCTCTTGTGGGATTCCTAATAGTGGGAGTGATGGCTATTGCTGACTCTTTTGCCTCATCTTAGGACCCTTTTCCTTCTACTGGGTTGCCTCGTTCAACCCTGATATGAGGGTTTGTGCCTAATCTTACTGTCACATGTTATGCCATATTAGGTTGATATCCCTGGGAGGCCTGCTTTTTTCTGAAGGGAAATAGAGAAGAAATGGCCGGGGGGGGGGGGGGGGGGGGGGGGCAGTATAGGGGAGGAGTGAAGTACTCGGAGGGGAAGAGGAGGGAGGAGTACTGTAGCCAGAAGTTTTCTCCTCTGGTCCCACCCAGCCCCCGCAGTCCCAGAGCCACTTATAAAATAATCACTCAGAGGCTTAATATTATTTACAAACTGTATAGCCTATGGCAGGCTTCTTGCTAGCTAGCTCTTTCATCTTAAATTAACCCATTTCTATTAATCTATGTTTTGCCACATGGATATGGTGTTATCAGTCTGCTGGCATCTTGCTTCTCCTTCAGTGGTGGCTAGGTCTCTCCCTCTTTTCCTTTCTCTTCCCATCTGTCTCTTGGATTTCCTGCCTGGCTATAACCTGCCTGGCTATAACCACCATAGGCCAGAGCAGCTTCTTTATTAACCAATCAGAGCAACACATATTCACAGAGTACAGAAGGACATCTCACCACAGAATACGTTATGGGAAGGAATGGAGGGAGTGGGTAAGCTGCAGTTGGGATGTAATGTATGAGAGAATTAAAAAAAACCCTAATCATCATGATTAAACAACTTGAAAATCACAAAATAATGATTTTATTTACACATCAGAGACAAGGACTGAAAACAAGTAGCTCCTGTGTGTCAAGCCTTTGGGCAGGACTAGCAAATCCATCTCAACTCATCTGCAATAAACCTGCACTCCAGGGATATTGGCTGTGCTGAGAGCTGTGGTATCTGGAGGCACAGAGCACATAGATCTCTCAGTCTCTTGACTTTGTTATGAGCCTGATATTGCTCTAGAAAATAAATGCCCAGGCTAGCCTCAAACTCACAGAGATCCACCTGCCTCTGCCTCCCAAGCGCTGAGATTAAAGGTGTGCACCACCACCACCAAGCCTTATCAGGGTTCTTAAAGTGCATTTTGTCCTCAAGTAAGTTCCAGTACTAGGTGTTGAAAATCTTTAAATATTTCCTCACTTATAACATGATTTGCGTTAAGCAGTAGTTCAGAGCTACTAAGGGAGCTTAGCTTTCTAGAAAAGTAGAAAAGCAATTGCACTGGGATTAAAAATGACAATGAGTATTTGGGGACCAGGAAAGCCTTTAGAAGACAGCCACTGGGGTTTGACCAATAATGAATTTTAAAATGCTGTAACATCCAGAAGAAAATGTAAAATAAATGTCAAGATGGTTCTATGAAGCCAAAACAAACAAACAAAAATGTCCTTGAGAGAACTCAAGGTTGGATTCCATCAACTTGACATTACAGCAGGATCATTCAGTGAAACAGCTGGTGGTTGAATGATTTCATCAAAGTCTTGAGACCAAGTAAAGTAAATCAAGGAGGAGGGCAGATGCACCAGAAGGAAATGAAAGGGTCAAAGATCACAGGAGGGGACAGTGATGTCAGGGTCCAGGTTTAGGGGAATGAGAGAGTTTGAGTGTGGTTCAGAGGATTGGTAATAAAGAACCCATATCAAACAAAACACTCATAATTGCAAAAATTTATATAGATTAGCTCAAATTCTTATTTAGCATGGAAAATAGGAATAGCCGGGAATGTTTGAAATAATACAGTATGCTTCTCAAGAGATAGTAGGGTTTGATCAGGATCAAAAAGCAACCCATAGGTCAGTTGTGGCGAGACGTAGACGAGTTGAGGTCGGGGTCTGTAGGGAGGCAGACAGCTCCGTCGCAGACTACGGACCTCCCCGGGTCTCAGCTGCCAAAGACCGTGTCCGGAAACACTAGCCGGGCATCATGAGTGGCTGTCGAGTGTTCATCGGGAGACTAAATCCAGCAGTGAGGGAGAAAGATGTGGAAAGATTCTTCAAGGGTTATGGACGGATCAGAGATATTGATCTGAAAAGAGGTTTTGGGTTTGTGGAATTTGAGGACCCAAGGGATGCAGATGATGCTGTTTATGAACTTGATGGAAAAGAACTTTGCAGTGAAAGAGTTACAATTGAACATGCTCGTGCTCGGTCTCGAGGTGGGCGAGGAAGAGGACGGTATTCTGACCGTTTTAGTAGTCGAAGACCACGAAATGATAGACGAAATGCTCCACCTGTAAGAACAGAAAATCGACTTATAGTTGAGAATTTATCCTCAAGAGTCAGCTGGCAGGATCTCAAAGATTTCATGAGACAAGCTGGGGAAGTAACCTTTGCGGATGCACATCGGCCTAAACTAAATGAAGGGGTAGTTGAGTTTGCCTCTTATGGTGACTTAAAGAATGCTATTGAAAAACTTTCTGGAAAGGAAATTAATGGGAGAAAAATCAAATTAATTGAAGGAAGCAAAAGGCACAGCAGGTCAAGAAGCAGGTCACGATCTCGGACCAGGAGTTCCTCTAGGTCCCGGAGCCGATCTCGTTCCCGTAGGAGCAAGTCTTACAGCCGCTCAAGGAGCAGGAGCCGGAGCCGGAGCAAGTCCCGTTCTGGTAGTAGATCTCCTGTGCCTGAGAAGAGCCAGAAACGTGGTTCTTCAAGTAGATCTAAGTCTCCAGCATCTGTGGATCGCCAGAGGTCCCGATCTCGGTCCAGGTCCAGATCAGTTGACAGTGGCAATTAAACTGTAAATAACTTGCCCTGGGGGCCTTTTTTTTAAAAAAACAAAACAAATTCCCAAACCATACTTGCTAAAAATTCTGGTAAGTATGTGCTTTTCTGTGGGGGTGGGTTTGGAGGGGGTTGGGCTGGATTTCTTTGTAGATGTGGACCACCAAGGGGATGTTGAAAACTAATTGTATTAAATGTCTTTTGATAAGCCTTCTGCTCACACTTTTGTGACTGTCTGAATTATATAGTTTGTGTATATTGACAGAGCTCTTTTATAACTAAAGCATTTAATTTTTTGTACTAGAAAAACTTTTGAACATTTTAGTTCATTGTTCAGATATGTTAACTTGATTAGTTTAATTACTCAATTAAACTAATAGCTTTGGACACTTTAAAAGAGCTCTAATTTGCTTGTATATAAAGGCTTAATATGAGTTTTCCTTGTTAGGGTCAGGATGTCTTCTCACCCATTAGCAGCTGTAGACAGACGTTAAAGCAGCTGTTTGTTATTGATAATAAAATATATCAAGTATTATAAGAAAAAAAAAGCAACCCATAGACATAGTTTTTAGGTACAGCAGAAACAATGTCTGTTGAGATGTTGCTGCTTCTCTTCTGCTCAATTCTGCAAGAATAGCTTGGAGCTGAGTACAAACCAGCCTGGTTTGGATGCTCAGGTTGGCCATGAAATGAAGATGTTTCCTTCAACCAACTTAAATTATAATAGTGGGGAAGACAACCCTGTATCAACTGGCTGAGAATGGAATTTCCTTTTTACCTTCATCATATTTTAGCCCTCCCACCCCTATTTCATGGAGAAAACTTACATTTATGAACATGGTGCAGGGCTATTCAGATCACATAACCTTGCCTTTGTAGGCAAAACTTTCTTAGTAAACTGAAGTGTTCTGTTCCATTTTATGAGATGAGATGCAAAATTGGTTTGTCAGTAATCTTGGCAAACAGGCAAGACCATAGCCATGAGCAGGCCCATATTTCTGAATGAGAGGAATTCATTCAAAATTCATTTTCTTCCTGAAACAATTTAAGAGATATAAATACATGTCCCTGGATCTGATGAAAATCTAATTCCTCATTTGGGACAACCCTCTCATCCACAGTCATCAATCTCCCACACCTCTCCATACTTCTGAGGCCTCATCAGAATTCTACTGCTGTCTGGGATACATTTCTAAAATTCTCCTCTCCCAGATCATAAAAACAACCATTTATGCTTTCTTCTAAGCGTCTTAATACTTGCTGTCTGCTTTGAGGTTGTTTTCCAAGCTCATATTTCCCCTTGATTTCATTCCAGGGCCAGTTTTGAAAGGGATTAATCCCATCTTACTTGCTGTCCCCCTCCCCACAGTGTCTTTCATGTATCTAGTTTTGCGTAAACAATTGCTGAGCACAAGGCTGAGCTAGCAGGTTAATCAAATGAATATGTGTACATGAGGTATAAAATAAGAATTTGCTGGAGATCGTCTTTGTAAGAAACTTTTTTTACTTCCCCCAAAAAATGTTCTCTACAACTAATTCTTTATATTTTTTTTAAGATAAGCTTCACTGTGTGATGGTTTTGGTGTTTATTTCCTTTTAGGGGTGTTGTCAACATATGGAGATTTATCAGTGAAACTAATCTATAATTTGCGCTAAGTCTTGCCACGATCCACACCATCTTAAAGGGAGTTGTATTTTATGGTGAACCACTTCCTTGCCTGACCTTTAATGCGTGCAATGCATATTTCATTAATCTAATTCGTCAGCACTCTTCCATACTCTGCCTGTCCCTAGCAAATTTTGAAACTGACTGACAATAGCCTCCTGCAACCAGGAGAGCAATGATGTGCCATGGCTCCTCACAGAGCCCTTCTGTCCTTATTTTCCTTCTGTTGCTGGGATGCAACATTTTGATCAAAAGCAGTTTGGAAAGGAAAGGGTTGTTTCAGCTTGCATTTCCAGGTAACAGTCTATCATGGAGGAAAGTCCAGGTAGAACTCAAGAAGAGCTGAGGTAGGAACCTTGGTGGGAAGCTGCTTACTGACTCATTCTGGTCTTAACTCATGCTCAGCCAGTTTTCTTTCTTTCTTTTTTCTTTTCTTTTTATTAAGAGATTTTCTATTCATTTTACATATTAACCACGGATTCCCCTGTCCTCCCTCATCCCACCCCCCCAGTGTTCCCTCCCAACCCATCCCCCGTTCCCACCTCCTCTGTGGGGCGTTTACCCACCAACCCCACAGCTCCCCAGAGTTTTCTTGAGTGTGAGTAGCAGGAAATATTAGATAGAAGGATTTATATTGCAGAGATAAACAGATAGAAAATAAAGGATAGCCTCGAGAGGGCCTGGAACCTTTTCCAATGGCCCGACTGTCTCTGCCCCAAGGGGTGGAGCAAAAGACCTCTCCACCAGCACAGCCAAGTGCAGACCATCTCAGACACCTGCACTCAGGCCCGTGGTCCTAATCATCCTCTCTATGTGGACCTGCTGGGTAAAGCCACGAGGAACCTGAAAACGGGCTCCCACACTCCTCCAAGGCAAGGTCTTCCCTGGGAAGTCAGCAGAACCTGGTATATTCAGTTGAGGCAGGTCCAGTCCCCTCCTAGGACCACTTTCCCAGGAGTGGCATCACCCACAGTGGGATGGACCCTACCATACCAATAAAAAAATTAAGACAAACCAGGCATGGTGATACACACCTTTAATCCCAGCACTAGGGAGGCAGAGGGAGACAGGTCTCTGTGAGTCTGAGGACAGCCTGGTCTACAAAATGAGTTTCAGGACAGCCAGAGCTGTTACACAGAGAAACCCTGTCTTGGGTGGATGCAGTTAGACAATTCCCCACAGCATGGCCACAGACCAATATGATCTGAGAAATCCCTCAAGTGAGACTTCTTCTTCCCTGGTAACTGTTGGTTGTGTCTAATAGATAGTAAAAACTAACCAAAACACCTTCCACCCTGGACCTTTCCTTCTTTAAAGTCTTGGGGGACTATCTGGAGAAGTCAGATCTTTGGGGAGAATTTCATGTAAGAAGTCATACTGCAAAGCCTCTGCTTTAAGATGATTCCCCAAAGTGATTTTCTCTAAACTATCCCATCTTCCTGTTCAACTTCTTAAACTTTCTTCAAGTGCTCTTGACTGCTCAGCCATCTTTCAAGCCCTGAGTTCTGCTTTTTTCATGTTAACCTGGATTTTCTTGAGCACTGTCATTTTTTGTCATTTTTCCTTCCTTCTTAATTTAAAATTTTATGATTTTTTATTTCCATACATAAGGACTGTATTTATCCTTTCCTTTCCATCATTTCCACCATTACTTCTCCTTCCTCCAACTCCTTCCATGCCCCACAACTCCCTTTTGAATTTATCACCTCTTCTTTAATTATTATTATTATATATACTTACTAATATATAAATAAAGTCTGTGAGTCTTTTAGTGTTGCTCTTATGTGTATGTGTTTAGGGCTGATCACTTAGGATTAGATAACCTATCAAGGGGCTTGTTCCTGGAGAAGACTGATTCTAGCTTCTCTTAGCAGCTATTAATTGCCTGTAGCTCTTACTTCAAAAATCCACAAGTCACAAATGACTTCACAGATGAAATATTTGCACTGTGTACTTCCTCTTTGAACTCCTGTGTTAATGACACAGCATGACAGGAGTTTGCTCCTGGGGAAACACTTATTCCTCAGCAGTGCAGACTGATGAAAAACCTTGTTAATTTATTTGAAAACACAATACATAGTAAAGCTATTTTCTCCATAGGCAAACCCAATGTCTATTAATGTAAGAAATAATCACATTTGAGGATTACTACTAAGATGGACTGTGTCTAGTTCATAGTAGATACTAAATAATGGTGGCTGTTGTTATGAAATTCAATAATCACTGACCAGAATTGTGAGACATAGCATGATAAACTGGAAGTTTAACTGGGCTTGAAGAGGTTCATTATGGATGATTGAATCTATCCTTATGGACTTTGTGAGGAGACATATTCTGTTCCCATGCCTCCGGAGGAGGGGAAAGCAAAGACGAAAAGCCTGGACAAAGGTGAAATTGGGCACAGCCAAATTAGTACCTCCAGACTACCTCCAACGCCATGGAGTGCTTCAGCTTACACTCATGAGAACACTGCCACTGTTACACTCGTGGGCAACCATCTATATGTCATCTCTGGATCATCTAAGTGAATTATTCCTGTGAAACAGTACTGTGCCAAGCCCACTGAAGGCAGCAAACTGCTGGGTTTCCTGCTTTTCAACAGTTCTGGGATACTCATGAAATCCTTGTTGAAATTGGACCAGAAGAGATGGGAGTGTGTTGTGGGATATTTGCACTGTATGAAGATATATTGCTGTGGTTGGTTTAATAAAGAGCTGAGCAGTCAGTAACTAGGCAGGAGGTATAGGCGGGATTTCCTGGCAGAGAGAGGAAGGAGGATGAGATAATTGAGGCATGGAGGAGATACTACTGAGACATGGAGGGAATCAGACACACAGAATGAAAGAAAGGTAAAAAGCCACGCAATGGAACGAAGATATAAAAATATAGGTTAATTTAAGTTAAAGGAACTAGTGGGACAAGCCTAAGCTAAGGCTGAGCTTTCGTAATTAATATTAAGTCTCCATGTCATTATTTGGGGCTGGAAGTCCAAAAGAAAGTCTGATTACAGAGGTGGAATTTGGAATTTATCAAAACACACAGCATGTATATATGAAAGTCTTAGACAATAACGAGTATCAACTTATATATTTGGGATCATACAAGCATACCAGGAACACCAGAGAACATCAAAACACCAAACCAAGGAAAGGGTGCAACACCTTCACCTGGACCCCATAGAGAGAAAGATACCTAACATAGCAATAGTGACAGCCCCATTGACATGACATCTGAGCACCCAGCATGTAAATCAAAGTGACTGGCAATGAACTGCCAGATGTCCCAGGGAATTCAGCTTAGTTGAGCTTCCATTGCTAATGCAGCCTACTTTAATTACCATCAGTCTGTCTGCCCACTTGCCATTCATCCATCAAGACCTGGTTCTGTGCCTCAGCTCCATGGCCATCACTATCCTGCATCTCACCTACGTAGCTCAACCCTGAAGATCCTTCCAGTCTGACTCTGTGGCTTGACTCTGTAGTTTATCTCCAACCAATCTCCAACAAGGTTTGTTATCTGATCTGATTCCACCCTCCAACCCCACTCCCTTCCTTGCAAAGGGAACTTTGTATTCATATCAACTTCTTGCTTCTTCCTTTCAGTTAGGTCTCCTGGAACTCTGCTATAGCCTCTTTGTAGCAGGAATCTTAGAGAGTCTTATTAATAAAACAAACCCAGAGCCAAGTATTGGGGTGAAGCTAAGAGAGACAGAACAAGTCACAGCTAGCTCACCTCGCTGGATCCTCAGTTGGTCTTGTTTCCTCAGACTGGAGGCCTCTGAGTCCTCATCCAGAATGTGTCTCAGCTGAACTGTGCTGCTAGAAGCCTGAAAGCTTAACCAGCCAAGTGCTTAACCAGGCCAAATGCTTAACCAGCCAAATGCTTCTAGTTTCTGGTCCTCACGCCTTATATACCTTTCTGCTTTCTACCACCACTCCCTGGGATTAAAGGCTCGCTTTCTGGGATTAAAGGCGTGATGAGTCACCATGCCTGTCTGTATCCTTGAACACATGGATTTCTGCCTCTGGAATGCTAGGATTAAAGGCGTGTGCTACCACTGCCTATCTTTTATGTTTAATATTGTGGCTGCTCTGTCTCTGACCCCAGATAAGTTTATTAGCATGCACAATATTTGGGGGAATACCATACCACACCTCTTTAACTCTTTTATAGCTAAGTTGTAATGTATACATACATATATATGCACCTATATATTATAGACAGATATAGTGAATGATGTGTAGTGTGTGGCCTAAAAATTAATATTAACAAAAATCTGGAAAAAAAGGAAGACTAATTGGCAAATTGCAGCCAATAAAATTGAAGCAGCTTGTTAATCTATTGTTCTTAAGCAAATTCTGATATTGTGAAAATATGCAAATGTGCCTGTTTCTGATACAGCTTGCTCATGACACTCCCCAGATCAGAAAGCAGAGGTTTTCCTCTGGGGCAGGCAGGGGTGGGGGTAATTGTGGACAAGAAAACCCTGTTGTTAACTGTACTAGAATGAAACTTAAAACCCTTGACAGTGATCACATGATTATATTCCAGATCTGCCTCCCCTAACTGATGATGGTATGTGGCTTTTTTGTGAACACATTTTTCTCATCTGAAAATAGTTTTCTTTCTAACTCTTATCCATTTAATTTATTTCTGTTTTGATGTCCTGACCACTTAACTAATAAGTATGCTGTCATTATTGTACCTTTTCCTATAGATATCATGTCTTTATAAATTAATTCTATTCTAAAGGATTTATCTGTTAGCACTTTTTTAACGACAAAAGTTTCAAGTTCATTTAAGAAATTTTTAGCCAGGAAGTGGTGGCACAGACCAGCACTTGGGAGGCAGAGGCAGGTAGATCTCTGTGAGTTCAAGGCCAGCCTGGTCTACAAAGTGAGTTCCAGGACAGACAGAGCTGTTACACAGAGAAACCCTGTCTTGAAAAAACAAAAACAAAAAATAAATAAATGATGCATGTGAGTGTGTGCATGCTCATGTATGTGTGTATGTGGAAGGGGAACACAGGTATGGCTTAGTGTTCAAGTGGAGGTCAGAGGACAATATTCCTGAGTTGGCTCTCTTCTTCTACCGTGTGGATTCAGAAAATTGAATCAGGTGAGCCATCCCACCAGCCCTCAATTTGACTTTTAAGTTATTAAGCTTAGCTCCTGTGACAGCTACTAATTTTCTACCTAACTTAGTATCATTTAGATAGAATAAAATGGCAAAAAATGAAAGATAAAATTCTTGAAACCAGAATCTTATTTAACACCCACTGTGTTAGAAAACTTGACAATAGTCTTTTGATTTTTGTCTTGAAAACATACTTATATTGGTTTCAGAGTCAAGCTTCAGAGTGCCCATCTAGCATGTGAGTCTGTGGATTCTCAGTCCTGGAACCAGGTCTCTAAAATCCTTCTGCATCAAAAACACTCGATTGTGATTCACTTTAAACTGTACTTAGTATTGGGCTGTGATAGATAATCCCAAAATGGACCACCAAAATTAATGCTGAATGTTCGTTCCTTCCTGCTTTAAGTCTCCCAGTTTCAAAAGGCTGGCAGCTCTACACGATGTTGGCTTACCCAAGTGCCTCCTCATAAGATATGGGGTGTGTTCACTGGAACCCAGTATATGTGATAATCTCTTCCTATACTTGCCTTTCATAGGACAGTAGTTTTGTTGTTGTTTTTAAAGACAGGGTCTCATTAAGTAGCCCGGGATGGCCTTGAACTCACAGATCACAGAGATCCATCTGCCCCTGCCTGCTTTACAAGTGCTGGGATTAAAGGCAAGCTCACCATGCCAGCCAAGGACAGGGTCCATTGCTTTGGAACAACGGTTAAACTTGCAGATTCCAATGACTCAAGCTAGACTTCATAAGTGAAATTTCCGCCAGGGAGATCAGGACGTTATCCCACAACCTTCTGGAGAATCTAGTGTCTGTCTCTGTCTAATGAACTGCTGTATGTAAACCTATGTGTTTGCACATTTTTCAAAGGTAAAATTTAATTAGTCACTTCTGCTAGCATTATAATATAACGCAGATGGAGGAAGGGCGCGCATCATTGCCAGCATTGGCTTGTCGGCCTGATGCTGTCGCGCTGAAGCCCAGGTCACCACGCCTGTTTTTATCGGAAGCGGTCGAAAGGTCTGGAACCACGCTCTGGTTCCCGCAACTAGCCGACCTCAACTTCTGTCGGGATTCAGAGTACTCAAACACACCGGAATTCCACGCGATCCCGCCTCTCTGTTACCATTGGCAATGACAGGCACCGCCCCAAGTTAGCGTGGCATGAAAAGGTGGGACTTCCGGATCTCGAAGCCAATGTACATGCGGAAATCAGCTAGTTACGCAGCACTTTCAATCACGTGATATTGAGGGCCAATGACAGTGTACAGCCGAGGGCTCACGTGCCTCCGTTCCCATTGGCAACCCGCGGCTTCTAAACAACCTACTTTCCTCAGGCCGCAGCTCAGGCCTCCCTGTTTCCTGTCTGATCCCGCCACCGCCATGGTGAGTATCCCCGTCAGGAGAGGGCCCCGCTAGGGAATGGACGACGAGCCGGGCCGCGCAGGCTGGGCCTCGGTGGGGAAGGGAGGCTAGCAACACCTCGGTGAGACATCCTTGCTGCAGCCTTTCTCCGGCCTGGTCACCTCATCCGTAGCCGTGGTCTGGGACGCCCTGGCCGTCAGCGCAGGCACACATATGCCTTTGTGCACAGTTTACAGGCTGGTTCCAACTTTCTGTGTGAACTTGATTGAGTCTAACTTTCTGAAGCACCTTATTTTATAGCTGATTAAATATGGGTGGTATTTCCTTTGTTTGGACTTGTGAAGACCATTAGGCTAGAATGTAGCTCTGTATTAGAGTTTGGGCTTAGCTTGAAACAGGTAAGACGGGAAAGAACACACCAGTTCATTCATCAGCTTACCAGTTTAAATGTTTGTATATAGATAAAAGCACGAAAATGAAGTTGAAGGGGTATTGAAGTTAATTGAGAGTGCTGCTGAAACGGGCTGCCAACATATCCCAGCACTCAGAATTCCTAGTAAGCCCTCACCTTGTATACATCTGAACAAAACAGACCACTCCTTAACCAGTCCTGAGCTTAGAACTAGTTCTGCTTCTCTTGATTTCAAAAACGAGAAAATGATGCTAGTGGGGGATGGATAGTGCTTAAAGGAGACCCCAGTGCAGCGGAGGTTCCCCCCACCCCCGATCCAGATTGGGCACAAACCACACCCAAACACCTGTTTTCACAGAGAGATCCTTTATTAAGCGGGGAAGAAAAGTAAAGTGGCTGATTTCTGACTCAGGCAGAAAAACAGCAGCAAATGACGTTGCAGATGTAATTTTTAAGAAGAGAGAAAGGGGAGCTCTGTGTTACAATGAGCTAGGATGCGGTGGTATGTTTTGATTTTGATTTTTTTGACATTTATTATGTTTTTAAATTTATTTATTATGGATACTGACTTCTGCCTGCATGTATATCTGCACGCCAGAAGAGGGCACCAGATCTCATTATAGACGGCAGTGAGCCACCTCGTGGTTCCTGGGAATTGAACTCAGGACACTGCATTCCAGTGCTCTTTATCTCTGAGCCATCTCTCCCCGCCCCTGATTGCTGGACTTTAATACTTTAATATTTGGACCTTGGTAGTCAGCCTTAGGAGGAGGAAGTGGTCAAATAAGGGAATAGACTTTGGTGGCTAGCTTTGGGAATGTAATAGCAAGGCAGAAGGAACTGGGGAGAAGGGCAAGGCCTGCCAGAGCCATGCTTGCCACACTTGAGCTGACCAAAGTCCCTTCAGTACTTGTTTGTGTTCTTACTCTTTTCTGTCAGTTTGACAATTAATTCTTGGGAATTGGGCATAGATGGCTCATTAGTAAATTGAAAGGGTTGAAAAATGACTCATCAAATAATGCACGTGAAATAAAATTGTTTTAGCAATAGGCTCACTCTCCTGTTTGGCTTTTTATAAAAATTATTTTTATTGCCAGATAGTGGTGGCGTTCAGATTTAATCCCAGCATTCCGGAGGCAGAGACAGGCGGATCTCTGTGAGTTTGGGGCCAGCATGATCTACAGAGCGAGTTCCAGGACGTCAAGGTGGTTACACAGAGAAACCTTGTCTCAAAAAAAAGTGGGGGAGGAGGCAGAGGCAGGTGGATCTCTGAGTTCAAGGCCAGCCCATCTACAGAGCAAGTTTCAGGACAGCCAGGGCTACACAAAGAAACCCTATCTCAAAACAACAACAACAAAAAAAAAATGCTTTAAAGATTTCCTACATGCATACAATGTATTTAAAATCGTATTTACTCCTCCCCCAGCTCCTCCCAGATTCATCTTGCTGTTTCTGTACCTACCTAGTATATGCTGCCCATTTACTCATGGGTGTGGGACCATCCACTGGAGAATGACCAACCTACCATGGGCCATACTCTTAGAAGAAACTGACTCTCCAGACCTCATAAATCCCTCCTGCCTCCATGCTAGATTGTTGATTGGCCTGGCTTTGTGAGTTCCGAGCAGAGCAGTCCTGTCAGGTCTAGAAGACTCTGTTTTGATCTGATCCTGTCCCTCTTCAGAGATAGTTTCTGTGCCTTGGAAGAGGGGTGTGACAGAGATATCCCAGTTGTGGCCAAAGTCTACTTATTCTCTGCACTTTGACCAGTTGTGAGTTTCTGCATCAACCACCATCCGTTGCACAAAGAAATGCACGAGTAAATGAAGCTCTTAGACCTGATCAGAGAAATTTCTTTTTTTCTGGATACAGGGTCTTTTGTGTAGCCCTGGCTGGTCTGAAGCTTACTATGTAGATCAGACTGGTCCCAAACTCACAAAGATCTGCCTCTGCCTCCCAAGTGCTGAGATTAAAGGTGTGTGCCACCACACCGGGCCCAACAAAGTATCTTACTTATTTTCATTGTAAGTTTTTTTGTCTGATCCTCAGGACTAACAAATTCTCTCTTTTTCAGGCAGAGTTGGGCCTAAATGAGCACCATCAAAATGAGATTATTAATTACATGCGTTTTGCTCGTTCAAAAAGAGGCTTGAGACTTAAAACAGTAGATTCCTGCTTTGAAGACCTCAAGGAGAGCAGGTATCAAGAGACTTTAAGGCCTTGCTTCTTAAAACTGTGGGTCATATAACTGAATGAATGTGTATTCCTTGAAAATTTGGCAGTAGTAAAAGATTTCTGAAAATGCAATCACTAAAAATTAGTTCATAATCAAATTCATAATGCATCTGAAGTGTTCCGATAACATTTGCAAATGATTTATCATGTGATGATGTCACTGCAGTCTTGGCTCTAAACACTACAGGCACATTCTGCACTGCCCAGGCCATCATCCACCCAGCTCAAATGCAAGCTGCCTGGAACTCTTTGGCTTAGACTATTGTATGCTTTGAATTTCAGTGATTTTACTGTACATATAAGTAATCTGCTCTTATGGAAACATAATGTTTTAATTATGACAAACACAATATTTTCTTACCATCATTCTTCAACATGTATCAAATTAGTGTATCTCTGGAGTCTTTGATTTTAAAAATTGTTATTTGAGTTGTTGAGTTTCATTAAAAAACCATAAAGTGAATTTTGGTTTGGGATTAAGATAGAATTTCCAACCATTTCTGAAATGGCAATAAATATATTTTGCCATTTTGTACTGTATATTTATGCAGAGCAGTATTCTCAATATTAATGGTTATAAAATCAAATTATCAATCAACTCTGAAAAATGTTGAAGGTGTGCTCTGCCTTGTATTATCAAATACTCAAATAAGATTTAATTGTTGCTAGAAAAATAAGCACGTTATCTGATTATATGAAAAATTGGCTTTTAGCTTTAGTAAATGGCAAATTTTATGTATAACAAAGAATTGTTGGTTTTTTGCTTTGTTTTTTGGGGGATTTTTTTTGGTTTTTTTTTTTTTTTTTTTTTTTTTTTCAAGCCAGGGTTTTCTTTGTTAACAGCTATGGCTATCCTGGAACTCACTTTGTAGACCAGGCTGGCCTTGAACTCATAGAAAGTTCTGCTTCTGCTTCCCCGAGTGCTGGGGTTAAAGGCATGTGCCACCACACTTGGTTTGTTTTAAGAAAACAAATTATGATTTTTAATTAGCAAATGCTTTATCTGTCTGCTTGCTTACTTTACATACCTGTGTTCCTGGTCATGTAAAAATTTCTCAAAAAAGAAAGGGTACTGAGTAGATAAAGTTAAACTCTGATTAGGAAATCAGAGAAAAATATGGATTCTTCCTGGTAGCTACTATGGGGATACCAGGATAACAACCATAGCAGTCACTGAGACAGGCTCCACTATGTTCCATGGATTTGTGAAATTAAGAAATAGTTGTGGGGTGGCAGTACCAGTACATTATCAGAATGTACATGGTAATCATTGTGTACTGGAAAGTTTCAGATAAAAATTGTGAAGGACTTATGTATCAAATCTTCCATAACTTTAATTTCTTGAATGATTTCTTAAAAGAGCAGAGACATATGGCATGGCAGTTGTGAACCTCTGCTGTTCATTTAGAAGAATTAGGAGAGGGAAAGATATTATGAAACACTTACTTGGTAGTACCAAAATTGTTAGTTGATTTGAAGCAAAAGTTGTTAAGTTTTTGTTGGACCAACAGTGGAAAGTAAATGTTAAATGTCAAGTGAGATGTAAGTAGAAAAAGTAAAGGTCTCTGGGTTGTCTATAACTGTTGTGGAGGTCATCAGCCTTGAACTACTGTCTGTTCAACCAATTAACCTAATCTGGTGATCTGGTTTTTTAACTCCAGTGGATGAAAACAATGCAACTGGCAAAAATATGGTATAGTCTATTAAATAATAAAGAAAACACTAATATTTTAATAAAGACTATGAAATTAAAGTACTATATTTTTTAAATGGCTATATTCTTTTAGTTAAATGATGTTAAAGAATCATCCATTAAATACTACTTAGTGGAATATAACTGCTAAAAGTGTTTACTGTTAATTTGAGTATAATTGTTGTAAGACTAAGTATAACTGACTCTTGCTTGATTTTGTCTGTTTGGAAGAAAAGAAAAAGAGAAAGGTGACCTAAGAGTCTGAGGGTGAGAGACTGGAGAGGCAAAGCTGGGAGAGACAAAAATTCTGTTACTGTGACAACATCATTGAGAGTAGGAGGTGTGCACAGGGTATGTTAAGGATTCTAACTCTTGTTCATGTTGCTGACATTGTTGGGCTTAGTCACCCACAGTGGACCCACAGGCAAATCTCTTCCACTGTCTAAGCCCTGTGTACAGTTAGGGGATTGAAGATGATGGCCCATCCCCTGAAATTCCTTTCCAACCCAAGTATCTCCAATGAAAGTAGTTTTTAATGCTGCTGTTGATGGAGACATTAATTTTTGTGATGTCATAGTGGTACTTTAAGACATTAGATTTTATTTTATTTTGTGTCTCTAAACCGCTAAGAAATTTTTTTATTTAAAAAAATTTTTCTATTCATTTCACATACCAACCACAGATCCCCCTCTCACCCTTCCTCCTGCCTCTCCCCATCTAACCCCCCCCCAGCTCCTCCCTCATCCCCTCCTCCAAAAGAGTAAGTTCTCACATGGGGGGATAGCGTACAAGTGCAGTTTATGTCTCATGCGCGTTTACTAACATTTAAGTGATTCACACTGTTACTAAAATGTTAGAAAAGTGACAGAAAATGGAGAAGCAACATGTTCTAGGTGACTTTTTAAGTTTCTAAATGTGTTAAGACTAATTTAGAGGACTATAAAGTAAAAAAATAATAATATTGAAAAGTTAAAAGGATAGATGAAGGTTTAGGGGGTGTTTCTCAGCATGTAGTTGTATTTTAAAATAAACACATTTGAAGAATTATCCACAATCTAGTCATTTTAATAAATCTTTCCCAGAGAGTTTTTCCTGTAATCTTTGATTCTTTAAATGTCATAGTATAGGTTTCTTGATTTTGGTTGTATTTTGTAAGTTGCTCCTGTGATAAGCTAGCCATTGGAGTCATACTGTTTTCAGGCTGGTGGAGGAGACTTTCACCGTGGATGAGGTCACAGAAGTCCTGAATGGGCTGCAGGCTGTGGTACACAGTGAGGTGGAGTCTGAGCTCATCAATACAGCCTACACCAATGTGCTACTCCTGCGGCAGCTGTTCTCACAAGCTGAAAAGTGGTACCTAAAGCTACAGACGGACATCTCTGAACTTGAAAACAGGTAAAATTTGTACCTATAGTTGAGATATAGAGACCTAGGCATGATCTTAAAAGTTAGCAAATAACTTTGCTAGTGCATTTCTTGGGCTAGGGTGTGAGACAATACGGGTAGGGTGGCAGTAAGGCACAGTCACTAGATGATTCCCTTGAGTAGCACTCAAAGTCCTCTTAAAGATACTGTTTCCACCATCTTAGGTACTAAAAAAGCATTTGAGCCAAATGAAACTGCTTTTCAATCTATTTAAAGTAATGATTCCTTACAGCATCTTTGGTAGCATAATTAGTATTACAGTGGTCTTGATGCATAGATCTGCTAAGTAATAAAGATTAGAACCTTTAAAAATACGTTGGAGTATCATTTCCATTTATTCAGACTATAGCACTGCAAATTTGTTTCTAGATAACTGCATTTGACTGCATTTGAAATCATACACTTACCTTAGGAAATGTAAACTATAAAAGGCTTAAAAGCTTTACAATATTGAAAAGCTCATAAATTGAAAAACCTCTAGTAAGATCAGTGAAGTTGAAGCTTTTCCTGAGAAATAGCATGCCAATTGGGCATCATGGTTCATACCTTTTCCAACACTTGAGAGACAGAGGCAGGCAGTCTCTGGGAGTTCAAGACTGCTAGGGCTATACAATAAGACTCTGTCTCAAAAACAACAACAACAACAACAAAAATACATACCAGAAGTCAAGAAGGACTCACTGCCAAGCTCTCGAAATTGTTCTCCAATCTCTCCTCAAGTGGAAAATGATGAGCAAATGCTAAGAACAGTCCCCCAAGCAAGGATGGAAACTCATTTGACTTCTGCAACTGTCAGTGACTGGTGAGAACATGCTGAGTGTTGATGTTTGAAGAAGGTAGAAGAATGGTCTGTAAGCAAGAGTATAGCCAACAGATCAATCTTGGTGGATCATTGGGGACTTGGTCACACCATCTATATTTCCATGGAATATGCTGGTATTCTTGCTCAGTAGATGCTGTGGATTACTTTCATATACAAGATAACTCTATTACAAATCAGACTCTTTCTTAGGGAACAATGAATATTATGCAATAGAGAAATCATGATGCAACTCAAATACAACTGTCATTCATATATGTATTGACTTTTATGTCTTACTATATATATCATATACCTACCAAATACAAAGTACCAAGAGCTATAGATGATTCAAATTTACTTACAGGGGTGTGAGATTCCCAACCATTTGTAATTAAATATCAGTTTTGTACAATCTTATGCTCTTCTCATGAGCATGTGATAGGTTGGTTCTTGTGATTTTTTTTTTATTCTTTTGTGTGCTAGAAGTCTAATGTCAAAGAATATTCTCTTAAATTTGCTTTTATTCTCCAGAGAATTACTAGAACAAGTTGCTGAATTTGAAAAGGCAGAATTTACATCTTCAAATAAAAAGGTAATTTTTATTATTTCTAAATCTGTATTTATTTTTGCATGTGTGGTTATGCATACATTTGCATGCCTGTTTGTGTATATATGGATGCCCATGTGCACAGCTGCTTGTGCACATGTTTGTGCTTGGCGTATGGAGGCCAGATATTGATGCAGTATCTTCTTTGATTGCTTCCTACTTTATTTGCTGAGGCACAGACTTTTACTAAACTTAGAGGTCAATTTATCAGCTAGTCAGCTTTCCCTAGGAATCCCTTGTCTCTGCCTACAGAGTTCAGAAATTACAGGTAGGTCACCATGCCTGCCTGGTTTTTATGTGAGTACTGAGAATCCAAACTTAAGTCCTCATGTTTGTGTGATGAGTTGAGGCGTTTCCTCAGCTTCCCATATTTCTTAATAGCTGGTCTCTAAAATCCTCATGATGTAACTAGTGGAGGTGGAAGTGAGACCTTTAAAGGAAAAGCATTCAAGTTGGGAGTAGAATTCAATTGCTACTCACACTTGTAAACCAAAGATGAAAAGTTTTCGAAGTAACTGAAGAACTGTTTCTGTCTGTTATGATACACACACGCACACGCACATGTACACATGCACGCACACACGCGCACACGCACTCCCTGCAGTCTAGTCTGAATCCCAGGCCTTGTAAACCCTTCATTCAACGGATACAGAGCATATTCTTTATGGTGATCAGACCTGTGGTTATATCCTGACTCTGCTTCTTAATTGTGTGCCATAGGCAGGTTACCCAAGACAGCAGGTGGAGACAGCCTGGTTGTCTTTCTAAACAATTATGTGCTGTGGTGTCACTTACTAGGTACACCATAAATTATAAATAGTTCCTCTTGTCAGATAGCTAAACACTACTGAGGTGAATCCATGTATAGACACACAGAAAACATTTTCTAATAACTCTTTGTAACATATTTCTGACTAAAAAAATTTGGGGTCAGAGGGCTATTAAAATACCCAAATATTTGTGCTAAGTTATTATTCATCTGTAATTCCTTAGCCATTACAACTTCATGGTATAAGGTTCATGCAGAAATTATTTTCAGCTACCACAGATGAAAATTCTAGTCCTAGAAGCTAGAGATTTTTATCAAGTCTGGCTATGAGCTCCTTGTCTCCCTCCTTTCCATCTGTATGGATAAAAAGGTACAGGGAAATTGGGTTTCTTTTGAAAGGGTATTTTGTTGTTTGGTTTGGTTTGGTTTGGTTTAGGTTTAGGTTTTTGGTGTTTTTTTTTTTTTTTTTTTTTTTTTTTGGTTTTTCGAGACAGGGTTTCTCTGTGTAGCTTTGCGCCTTTCCTGGAACTCGCTTTGGAGACCAGGCTGGCCTCGAACTCACAGAGATCCGCCTGGCTCTGCCTCCCGAGTGCTGGGATTAAAGGTGTGCGCCACCACCGCCCGGCGGTTTTTGGTTTTTTTAAGACAGAGTTTCTCTGTGTATCCCTGGCTGTTCTGGAACTTGCTTTGTAGACCAGGCTGACCTGGAACTCACAGAGATCCTCCTGCTTCTGCCTCTTGAGTGCTGGGATTAAAGGCGTGCGCCACAATGCCTGGCTGGATTTCATTTTTATCTCTGTCATATATTGGCACATCATAGACACTGAACATAACAGAATGAACCCAACAAGAATCGTTACATCTGTGGAACTGAAGTCCTGGTGGATTGTTTATAGATAGGTCTTCCGCTTAGAAAGTGCAAATGTTTAATGATTCTTGCTTTACTCTGTGGTGATTTTAGATTGGTTTCTTCATTTGTTATAGCCCATCATAGATATCACAAAGCCTAAACTTGTTCCAATTAATGAAGGCGGAACAACAGAACTGCTAAACAAGGTAATATTCTGATCATTTTGGGAAAAGGGAAAACCTTGGTTCTGTCCCCATTTCCTGAGCAATGCTAGGGTAAGAGAAATAGTCTGTCACAGTTTTACTGAATGGAACTCAGTGACCAGAAGAGGGTATACCTATTTTGTAGAGTCTAAAGTGACTGATAGATCTTTTCACAGTAAAGTGTACGGCATGGAATTTTGAACTATGTTTTTCTGGGTGTGCATTTGAAATTTGTGATCCACAAAAATGTTACTTTTTTTTTTTTAATGCTTATAGAAGTTATCAGCATGAAAATAAATTTTTCTCAACTCCCATATTCTTGGCATTATGCATGTCAGATTTTGTTACACTTAAAAAGCAGTACAGTACCTAGTATACCCTCCAAACTGTTATCATTTCATTGGGAAGTTGGAACTAACATTTCCAGAAGCAGAGATGAGAGAACTAAAGGGTCCTATGGGTAACAGAGTTCTGTGTGGGTGGGAAGAGATAAGAACAGATGTTTGAATGATGTAGCCTCTGAGCTGGGTCTTAAAGATGAAGACAGGTTAAGTTAAAGGGGAATGTTGGGCAAAGGAGCAGAATGGCTACTGGCCATAAGCAAACAAAAGGATGGCATGACTTAGAATAACAGAGCACAGGGGCCTCTGAGCCGTCCAGCATGTATATTGGAGTAAAATGCAAAATCAGACTGGTCAGGTCGGTGCATCTCATCAGAACTGCATATGAATAAAGGTGTTTGGCCTCCCCTCAGAGCCATGCAGAAGCTGGAGTACTGGGTACTAAAATGATGAAGGTGGTGTGTTTTCAGGGTTAAGTGGCAGCACTGTAGCCAAGTTGCAGAATCAGAAAGCTATGTGAGAGAGAATGGCTGAATACTGAGAACATACTGAGAAAAGGTGTTTCTTAGCAAAAAGTAACTAAGTCTTTGAGCTAAACTTGACTCACAGCTATGGGGTTGGGACAGGCTTTGTGAAAGTAGGATTTTACTCCTAACCAGGGCATTTGGATTTTTGAGCCATTGCATAATTTTGGTTATTTTTTGAATGAAATAAGCAGTGATCATTTCAAGTGTTAAACATATTTTGGTTAAAATAATAAAATTTGGGGGGCTGGAGAAAGGGTCCAGTGGTTAAGAGCACTTGCTACTCTTGTAGAAAACCCAGGCTTAGTTCCAAACACCCACATGGTAATTCACGTCCATGTGTAACTCCATTACCAGGGTGTCTCATGCCCTTATCTGGTCTCCACTGGCACGCACATTGTATATATACATACATATAAGCAAAACACTCATGGACATAAAATAAAAATAAATTTTTAAAATAATAATAATAAAATTTGAATTTACTCACAAAGGAAATTTTAAGACTTCAACAAGAGAATGAGAAATTAAAGTCAAGACTGAAGACCATTGAAATACAGGTAACTGAGAAATCCTTCAATACAGTTATTGAAAAATTAACCTAGAGAGTAAAAGTTGAGTGTATCCTGTGTACATTTGATTATAGGCTACAAATGCTTTGGATGAGAAGTCAAAATTGGAAAGAACACTTCAAGATTTACAGCTTGATCAAGGAAATCAACAGGTAAAACAATTTTATCTATCTTTTCCACATCTTCTAAAAAAAATAAAGTTAGAATCTTTAGTCATAATCACTGTTCCTCATGCTCTATCTACCCCTGCCATTCTCTCTGCTGAATGCTATTGCTATCTTACATTGAGATTCCCTGGCTCAGAAACTCCATCCTTTGTTCGTTTTCTGGGGAAGAGTCACAGCTCACAGGACTAGCATACATTAGAGATTTTAATGACAAGCAAGATGTTCTTAAATTTATTATTGTTAATTTTTCCTCCTTTCCCACCTATACCTAATTAGAGTTGGGGCGGGTGGGGGGGGAAGCTGAGGAAAATTTACATTTGGATTTTATTATTCTGAATGTTACTTGAGTTTTCCTTGGATGAGATGACAGTGAGCGAGACTTATTGGTTATGGGCTTCATTTATATCTAGCATGCTGTGGGATACAGCGATATCCAGAGTGGTAGCTCTGCAAGCCTACCTGAGAATAATAACTGAATGTTGCTCCACCTGTTTGGAGTCCATTAGGATAGCATTGCCTCTCCTGTGGTCCTCCCACTGAGTGTGACATGGTATTTCCATTTTATATGAGCAAGGCCATGTGGTGAATTTTCATTGTAGAATTGTCTTTTCTGTGGTTGTCATTGTAAGTGTCTGCTAAACAATCTTCAAATCTACCTCTGTATGTTTTTCGTTTTTTCATTTCTAACATATTTTTTTTTCTTTTTTATGGAATGGGTATTGTGCCCAGAGCTGTACATGCTAGGCCAGCACTCCCATACTGAGTGAGCTGTATCCCCAGACTTCAATAGGTTTTGTTAAACATTTTTTTTCTATGAAAAAAATTCAAACATGCAAAACTACCGAGAGTAGTGTAATGAACCCCCATGAACGCACTACTCAGCCTTACAATCACCCGGCACGGCCAGTCTGGCTTCATTCCTACTTGTGCCTTCTTCCCTTCATCCATGTCTGTGTGAAGCAAGTCTCAGACATTATTTTTCTCTAACTACTTATTGATACAATATTTCTTATATGACTAAGGGGAAAAAAGTGTGTGTGTGTGTGTGTGTGTGTGTGTGTGTGTGTGTGTGTGTGTGTGTATGAAGAGTGGGGGGAGAATGTTCCAGAACAGCTTTATAACTTCAAAAGTTAAACATTTACAAACATTTTTGGGTAAGTTAAACATTTACAAACATTTTTGGGTGATGAATTTATTTAAAAGCCATTTGGGGCTTGTTTACTATCTGATTCAAAAGCAAAGTGGATACATGCTTTTACTAGTTGAAAGGTCTCTTTAAAGACTAAATATTTTAAAATTCAAGTATTGTTTCATTTTGTTGAAGACACTGCTTCATCCTCATATCAAGCAATCATAGGCAATTTTCTGTTGCACCAATGCAGATCTTTTTTTTCTGTCAAAAGTTTTACCCAGTCAAACGCAAGATTCAGATGTAAGATTGGTAGTGCAGTTGTCAAATTCTGCAGAAGTGTATATAACTCAACAGGAAAAACATAAAACCTTGTAAATTTACAAATTCTTAAAATCAATAATCATTAGTAATGGTCTCCATAGTTTCTTGAATAATAATTAAAACATGCCTATTAAATTTTTTATGAATGTGACTAATCTAACTATTACACCTATACTACTTGTTCTTTTGAGAGAAAATCTCACTGTTTCCAGCTTGGCTTAGAACTTGCTATGTGTAGCCCAGGCTAGCCCACATAATTCAAAATCTTTACTATGTTTTCCCCCTTTATCCAAAATTCTTTTTTGCTTGTTCTTAATTATAAAAAAAAATACAGACAAAATACTTTGATTGTGTTTCCCTTTCTCCAATTCCTCCCAACTCCTCCCCACTTTCTCAACTTATCTCTTTCAAAACAAATAGAAACATACATACCAAAAAAAACTCCCACAAAACACAAAAAGGAAAAATCAAAGTAAAAAAGCAAAAGAACAATAAGACAAAAATATGCCAAAATGAAAGAAAGGGTCCACAAAAATACCATTTGTTTATTTTGTGTTAGGCAATTACTCCTCGGCATGGGACCTGCTCTGAAGTGTGTGGTTGATATATAAATGGAGCCAGTGAGGCTCCAGTAGAGAAAACTGATTTTCCCTTTGCCAGAGGGTATCAATGGCAGGTACCTTCTAGGTCAGACCCCATGTCCACTTCCCCCTCTCAGTGATAGGACTCTCCCTGGCTTGAACCTGTACAGACCTTATATATGATGCCACAGTCTCTGTGAATTGATATGTGTATCAAGCCTGTTGTGTCCGGAAGACACTTTACTTGGAGTCATTCCTCACTTCTGGCTTATACAATCAATCTTCCTACTCTTCTACATAGCTCTCTGAGCTTTAAGGAGAGAGTTTTGATGAAAACATTATATAGGACAGAGAGCTCCAAAGTCTCTCTCTCTGCACATTGTCCAGTTGTGGATCTCTGTGTTAGTTCCCATGAACTGCAGGAAGCTTTTCTGATGTGGGTTGAACAAGGTACTAATTTATGGGTATAGCAGAATGTATTTTATTGCTGTGTTCCTGTAGCAGAATAATACTAGTATGTTTTCCCTAGACCTGTGATCTAGCTAGTCTTGGGTTCTTTGGCCACCTTAGCAGTATCTGGTATGTGTTCCATCTCATGGAGTGGGCCTTAAGTCTAATCAAAAAGTGGTTGATTACTCCATAGTCAACTATTGTGTGACTATTGCCCCTGTATGTCTTACAACCAGGTCACTGTTGTAGGTCACAGGGTTTATACCTGCATCATACTGATAATTATTTTTCTCCTCCAGTAGGGTGCAGAGTACCTTCCAGTACTATGAGTGCTAGTCAGTAGGGATGAAGCTTCTAGTTAGGCACCATCTGAACTTCATTCATGTTAAATGACGTGAGTAAGTGTTGTTTTCATCAATAGGGCCTTAACATTAGATTCTGGAGAGTAAGTAAGGGCTTGAGCAATAGCCGTGGTGCTTGAGTTTTCATGGGGCTGCCTTAGCCAACAACTCAACAAGATGTAACTCATTCCTGACACTGGAGGTTTTACTCGGTAGCATAAGATGTCTAGTGTTGTGGGATATTTGTAGACTGTGTGAAGACTGTGATTGGTGTAATAAGAGCTGAATAGCCAATAACTAGGCAGGAAGAGGTTAGGCAGGACTTGGGGACAGAGAGAACTCTGGGAAGAAAGGCAGGGTAGCCAGTGAGATATGGAGAGGAAATAGGTTGGTGCAAGATGGAAGAGAGGTAATGCCACATGGCAGAATACAGATTAATATAAATGGGTTAATTTAAGTTAGACAAGCTAGTTGAGACAAGCCTAAACTAAAGATCAAGATTTTATAATTAATAATACGTGTTGTTATTTGTGAGCTAATGGCCAACAAAAAAGCATGCTACAGTCTAGTTGGGGCATTGTCTCCCTTATTATTTGTTGATTCCATTTAGAATCCTTTCTCATATATATATATATTTAGGAAGCTTCTACAGTGGTAGGTTTCCATATGGTTTTTCAAATGGCCTTTAGTGTTAGTTGTCCATCCCCATATTCCTCGCTTTACTCTTCTCTCCCATCTCCCTCCCTGTTTAATCCTCCTATTCTAGTTCCCTTCTTTGGGAGATCCTCACTTCCTTTATAGTCCCTTACTAGATACCTAACCTCTGATTATTTTTATTTTAGTACAAATACCAAATGTTTAAAAACTAGCATCCACATAGGAGAAAAAAACATACAGTGTTTGTGTTTTGGGGTCTAGATTACCTTATTCAGGATGCTTTTCTTTTTCCTAGCTCTAACCATTTACCTGTTTCATTTCATAATTTTTCTTATAGCTGAATAATATTCCATTATGTAAATGTACCACATTTTCCTTATCCACTCATGAGTTGATGGACATGTAGGCTATTTCCAATTTCTGGCTATTATGAATAGAGCAGCAATGAGCATGGAAAAGCAAGTATTTTTGTAGTAGGATGTAGATTGCTTTGGGTATATGCCTAAGAGTGGTATAACTGGATCTTGAGGTAGATCTATCTCTAGCTTCCTGAAGAACCAACACACTGATTTCCATTGTTGCTGTACAAGTTTGCATTCTCCCCAGCAATGAATAAGTGCCCCCCACATCTTTGCCTTCATGTGCTGTCATTTGTTTTATTGATTTTGGCCATTCTGACTGGTAAGATGAAATCTCCAAGTAATTTTAATTTGTATTTTTCTGACAGCTAAGCATGTTGAACATTTTTTTACATGTTTCTCTGTCATTTGTGATTCATCTTTTGAGAACTCTCTGCTTAGTTGTGTACCTTACTTTTTAAAATGCGTTAGTTGTTTTCTTGCTATTCATTTGTTTTATTTTAGTTCTTTGTATATTTTGGATACTACTAATTCTCTATTGGTGTATAGTACATCAAAATTTTTCCCGCTCTGTAGCTTGTCATTTTCCACAAATGATGGTATCCTTTTTGTTAACTGTTAATTGTTTGTAGCTAGAGTTTTCCTGCCTGGCCCACAGTCAGGACACATCTCTCTCACCTGCCAGTCCCACAGCCGCTCAAACCCGACCAAGTAAACACATAGACTTATATTGGTTACAAACTGTATGGCTGTGGCAGGCTTCTTGCTAACTGTTCTTACAGCTTAAATTAATCCATTTCCATTAATCTATACCTTGCCACATGGCTCGTGGCTTACTGGCATCTTCACATGCTGTTTGTCATCATGGCGGCTGGCAGTGTCTCTCTGACTCAGCCTTCCACTTCCCAGCTTTATTCTCCTCCTTGCCCCGCCTACACTTCCTGCCTAGCCAATGGCCAATCAGTGTTTTATTTATTGACTAATCAGCAACACATTTGCCATACAGAACATCCCACAGCAATTGTGGGTATTAGTGCCTTTGCTATCAGAAAGTCTCTTTCTATGCCAGTGTGTTGAGGCCTATTCCCTGCTTACTCTTCTATCAGATTCAGTGTATCTGCCCTTATATTAAGGCCCTTGATCC